CTGACTGACTGTGACTGACTGTGACTGAGACTGTGACTGAGACTGTGACTGACTGTGACTGAGACTGTGACTGACTGTGACTGACTGACTGTGACTGACTGACTGTGACTGACTGTGACTGAGACTGTGACTGAGACTGTGACTGACTGACTGTGACTGACTGTGACTGAGACTGTGACTGACTGTGACTGAGACTGTGACTGACTGTGACTGAGACTGTGACTGACTGTGACTGAGACTGTGACTGACTGACTGAGACTGTGACTGACTGTGACTGAGACTGTGACTGACTGTGACTGAGACTGTGACTGACTGTGACTGAGACTGACTGACTGACTGACTGAGACTGTGACTGACTGTGACTGAGACTGTGACTGACTGTGACTGAGACTGACTGACTGACTGAGACTGTGACTGACTGTGTGTGACTGTGACCATTTTAATTGGCCATATTACCATGTTTTTTAAGAGAATAAGTCTGTCTTCCAAATGCTTATTACATTGCACTGTGAGAAAATGGCCTGCCTTTAAATTGGCCTTCCCAGCCACAGATGGCTTTCTGATAAGTGATCATGTGGGTTTGTATTCTAAACTGTGGTGGACTGGATTAAATGCACATGGTAGTCTGACTGCTACAGTGTAAAGTGGGCTGGATTAAGAGCATGTGGTGTTCTGTTTACTAACTTGATGGGAAAAGTCAGTGGCCAATTAACTACAGCTCACAATTTAGTGGGTAAACACAGTGCACTACTGTCCCTCCCTATATCCCTGGGATGAGGAGGGAGGGGTTTAAGATGTAAGTGGGGGTTGATTTGATTTTACACAATGAACTTGAAATAAGTCTATTGTCATTCTGATTGTGCAGGATGTTTAAAAGACCCCACCCCTTCACACTTCTTTCAGAGATCCCCTGACTTCCCCAGCTACCAGTATTTGTGCAGACTCTGCTCCATTCACATCGAAAACGTCCAAGGAGCACACAAGCACATAAAGGAGAAACGTCACAAAAAGAACATACTGGTAAAGTTTTCTCCTGTTTTCATCACCACGTGCACTTGTAATTTTAATGTTCTTTCATTAAAATGGTGGCTGGTGTGTGTTTTTGTGATTACATTGGCAGAGGAGTCTTCAGTCACCCCAAATATGCATGGGTGAGTATTTTATCTGGGTTATTGTATTCACAATACAGATAACTGACTCTTTATGAATCTGATCTGTCGGCTATAAACAGAGCTTGGGTTTTGCTTTTTGAAGTTCAGTTTTAAAGTCAATTTTCACGGTTTATAATTAACTTGGAGGTTTATTCAATGAAGGGATTGCTGAGGTGGATATTGCCACTCCTCCCGCCTACAATTTGCCATTTGCTAAACTGGTAATCATTGGGGAAGGCTTGGATCAAAATGGCCCAACTTGGAATAATAAGGCAGCGCATATATAGCTTCATATTGTGTGCTATGTATATTTTGCTTGGTACATTTTTCAAATCTTGCAGGTTTTTAATCCCATTAAGGATCACAATCTGATCCTTTACTACTGGAAAGTCCTGCTTATTTTGCCACTGCAGCTTTATACAGACTTGTAATTATAAAAAATAAAAAAAAATAGATAAAATACACTACAGGCACCATGATTACAACAGATTGACATGGCTATGGTGCCTGGTGTTTTGTGGTCACTGGGTTCTGCATCAGTGTAAATTTACCTAGTACGTGCTAGATACTCAGTCTCTGGCAACCTAAAACCTGAAATGACGGAGACTGAGCAATGCTTACGCACTAAACCATATCCTATCCTACCAAGGATTAGTACAGTAATTAGCTGAGCGTGCTGCTGATGCTCTCGGCCAATCACAACCCCTAGTATAGCTTGTTCTTGGAGGCTGGGCTTCAGGCTGTTGTGGTCAGAAGATCTACTAAACTTGCATAAATTGTCCAGTACTGATACAGGACTAGGTACCATGACCACATCAGTCCATTGATGTGGTTGTTCTTAGTGTTGCTTTTTAAATGAGTGTAAAGATCCCTTCTCAAAATTGAATATCCCAGACTGTTTTAATGTAAGCCTTAATGGGTTTAATGTTTTGAATGCTTTAGCGAAAGCATCCATTTAAACTCCATTTGAAATAATGGACTTTAATTTATAATGAAACCCAGCTTGTGCAGTACCTTGCCATGTGTTTTACTGCCCTTTGCTTTTTAGCTAAAACTTGCACAAAACTTGGCAAATCTCAAACCGATTAAGATTTATACTTGATCAATTTCTATGGTAATCCACTACTGTGATTCTTGGACAGAAAATAATCTCAAGTATAGTTCTTGACATAATTTATTTTTAATATCCACTTATGTAAAGATAAAACTTAATGAATGTCGATAGCTGCTGATTTTTTTTTTTTTTTAAGATGTTCTTTCCTTGCCAAAAAGGATTTACTTTGTAAATCTGGCTTTAATCTTAACTTAACCATGTTTACCACTTAATTCTGTGTAATCTTGCTAATGCATGCTATCTTGTCAGAATATTTAACACACCATAATTCTTGTCTGGCACAGTCGGTCTGCTACATTAAAATGTTATGCAAAATACTGTCAGATTGTAAATCTACAAAACAATCTGAAAACCTTTAAATTCACAATTACATTTGACACTGTGCATATGGGACATTTTAGTCATACAGACTTGCATTATGGGTTTTTTTTTTTGTTCCTGCAAATGTATATGGCTTTGTCTGAAGTTAGGCTTTGTGGACTTTTTTGATAGCACCAGTAAATTTTGTTTTTGTTAAATGTTTCTTGCAGGAAAAACAGGAGGAGAATGAACTGCGCTCATTACCGCCTCCAACCATGGCACAGATAGATGCTATTAGTGTAACCTTGATAGATACTGCAAAAGAATATGGAATATCCCAGGAGGACTTCATTTTACGTCAGGACATTGTGAACAACATGGAGGAAATTATCCAAATGAAGTTACCTGGTAAGCATCTCGTCGGGAGGAATGAAACTGGGTTGATTTTAGTCACACGTAACGGGATCATCCTTCTGGATCAGACATTTGAAGATGTATAGAATCTTACAGAAAAAAGTAAAAATATGGCTCTAAAATAAATCCCTGAATATTAAAATAAAAACCTTACAATGTGAAACTCAAACACGTATATTAACATAGAACAATTTGCACTGTTTTTAAGACAAATGATTAACACTATAAATGCGACTTAAAATGAGTGCATATAAAACCGTGCAAAATGTGCTTAATGCAGATTAAAACACACTGCAATTCAGTGCAAAATCTAAATACAAAGCGCTACCACAATTGTGCACCTATTTCTATGATCCTGTACTCCCATATACAATTTGCTTGATGCAGGTATGCTTCTCCAGATTATATGTGAATCATAATTTATAGTTGGAAATACATTGCAGACAAATTCAATGCAGTATTTGCCAACTATAAATTATGATTCACATATCTGGAGCATACCTGCATCAAGTAAATTGTATATGGCAGTACAGGATTATATAAATAGGTGCACAATTGTGGTAGCGCTTTGTATTTATATTTTGCTCAAGTGCACTTATCTTTTAATGCCGTTTAATCTCTAAGTGTTTTGTGCAATTTTGTGATACATGCACTTGCATATTGTATAGCATTTATAGTTTTAATAATTTGTCTTAAAGACAGTGCACATCTACTTGGAGACATATATCAAGTGACAACCAACAAATGTCTGATTGCATTGTGGAATTGTAAGTTTCACATTTCCCAATTGTCTTGCATTGTTTCAGTTGCATATGACCTCTGTGCTTGGGGTGTTATGCATGTATTAGAATTCATTTGTAATGGAAAAGGATTAGTTGTGTGGTGTTTAACGATCCATTTAAATATAAAAGCAAGGCAACCCACTTAAACCTCCCTCATTTAATTGATTTGTTTTTACTTTTCTTTAAATGTCACATGTAATTGAAAAATGGAGGAAAGAATAAGAAATTGACAATGTATTTATGGTCACTGAAAGGTGTGCTGTCTGCATTTCTGTCCTAATTTTTAGTATTCTTTGTTCGCTATATTTTCCAATTGCATTTTATGTAGCAGGACTAGATACTTCCATTGAAACAAAGTGCGCTAGAATTTAAAGTGCAAATTTTACTTCCTGCATTAGTTTTGTGAAAATAAGTGCAAAATGTTGTTTAGCTTTAAGTGCAATGTGCATCTACATACTTTTGAAAAGTGATCATGTGCATAAATGTATAAAGTAAACTTACTATAATATCTCGAGCAGATGAGCCTGCTCTACTTCGAATAGCCTCAATATGCAGAGATGTCCACTGCAGCCAATAGTGTAAACTATTTTCAATAAATAAAACTTCAAACTTAAAAGAATCACTGGATCCTGGATGGAACTTATGCTTGTGGAGTCGGTGCAGCTGCCGGCAAATGCAGGGTCTCGTGCACGCTCAGCTTTTGGCAAAGTCCACAGGATACTTCTGGGAGGTGGGACGTGCGCGATGATGTCACTTGAGTCAGATGATGTGGTTCGCCAAGGGATCGGCTTTTTCAGATCCGATCCCTCGGCGAACCGCATCAGATCTGAAGAAGCCGATCCCTTGGCGAATCACATCTGACTCAAGTGACGTCATCGTGCACGTCCCACCTCCCAGAAGTATCCTGTGGACTTTGCCAAAAGCTGAGCGTGCACGAGACCCTGCATTTGCCGGCAGCTGCACCGACTCCACAAGCATAAGTTCCATCCAGGATCCAGTGATTCTTTTAAGTTTGAAGTTATGTATTGAAAATAGTTTTTTACCCTATTGGCTGCAGTGGACATCTCTGCATATTGAGGCTATTCGAAGTAGAGCAGGCTCATCTGCTCGAGATATTATAGTAAGTTTACTTTATACATTTATGCACATGATCACTTTGTGAGTTTTTTTTCTGCAATCTGCACTTTTTCAAAAGTATGTAGATGCACATTGCACTTAAATCTAACATTTTGCACTTATTTTCATAAAATTAGCACTTTAAATTCTAGCGCACTTATATTTTTTTGTTTCGATTGTGATTTGTTTCTCTTGAGCCAAGTACACGTATAAGTGCTTCTATACTTAAACCATTCTAGGCACCCAGACCACTTCAGCTTAATGAAGTGGTCTGGGTGCCAGGTCCAGCTAGGGTTAACCCATTTTTTCATAAACCTAGTAGTTTCGGAGAAACTGCTATGTTTATGAATGGGTTAAGCCTTCCCCCTAATCCTCTAGTGGCTGCCTCACTGACAGCCACTAGAGGCGCTTGCGTGCTTCTCACTGATTTTCAGTGAGAGCACTCAAGCGTCCATAGGAAAGCATCATGAATGCTTTCCTATGTGACCGGCTGAATGCGCACGCAGCTCTTGCCGCGCGTGCGCATTCAGCCGACGGGGAGGATCGGAGGAAGAGAGCTCCCCGCCCAGCGCTGGAAAAAAAGTTTAACCCCTTTCCAGAGCCGGGCGGGAGGGGGTTCCTGAGGGTGGGGGCACCCTCAGGGCACTACAGTGCCAGGAAAACTAGTGTTTTCCTGGCACTATAGTGGTCCTTTAAGTATATCACAATTGGTGATAAGCGCCATTTTGTCACTTGTATATTGGACTTCCATTGAAACTGTCAACCTGACCTGTTACATTAGATAAGACACTGAATGTTATAAAATAAACTGAGGGTTTGGAAGAAACGTCCATCTAGAATAGATGTAAATAAAACGGTAATGCCCTTATATGTACAGTTTTCTCTTCTAGTCCTGCTGAAACGTATTGCTGCTGATCAATATTTTGAAAGGCCGTTGACTCATGCCCTTATTTTTTATTTCCAGAATGTTCTCTAAGAATGTATGGCTCCTCCTTGACAAGATTCGCCTTGAAAACAAGTGACATTAATATTGATGTTAAGTTTCCCCCCAAGGTAGGTATAAACTTGCCGGCTTTCTCCAGCAGCAGGTCCTCTTCCCCATGCTTTGTGCAATGGAGACTGACCAGTTTTCTTTCCTGTCCAGATTAAATTAGCACCTGCACATCAATTGCCATGCATGAGCCAATCAAATGTGGCGATCGGCTTCGCATAAGGAAGAATTGGATAAACGCTTCAATATAGAAGCTGTCCCTACCACTTGAGCAGTCCTTAACCCCTTAAGGACCAAACTTCTGGAATAAAAGGGAATCATGACATGTCACACATGTCATGTGTCCTTAAGGGGTTAAGGACACATGACATGTGACATGTGACATGTCATGATTCCCTTTTATTCCAGAAGTTTGGTCCTTAAGGGGTTAAAGTAGAGTGAGTCAGGATTCCTTCCTGGAATGTACCTTTAAGCTATGAGGACATGATGGAATTTAAAGTACTTTTAATTTTTTAGTACTTTAGACTACATTTTCCAATCCTCTAGTCAACTTTCAACCTTTCACTGGTCTTGTCTGTTTTAGTTCACTGCAATTTGCCAGCTCTTCTAAATTCTCTGGGTCCCAGTTTAGTGCATAACCTTGAAAAGTGGTGGGGTAGGAGGCTTGGATGTATTTTAGGAAGGCCTTGTGTTTCTAATCTAAATGGTCCCACTGCGAAAGAAATTTAATGGGATATGAAGAAAACCATGTGCAGTGCTATGGCACTCAGAAACTTGAGCTGCACATTTTTGTCCACCTATTAGTCCAAACGCTACAGGACTTCAGAAGTAGCTGAGATGCTAGATCACATCTTGCCTATTGTATAATAGCATGTTGACTCTGTTCGCCTCTAACACTTCTTTTTTTTTTTTTTTTTTCTCTGTAGCTGACCCAGCAAAATGTTCTAATAAAAGTACTTGAGATTTTGAAAAACTGTAGTAAGTATTTTCATTGCATCAGTGACCTTGTTTTGGAATTTGTGATGTGCCTAGATGTCTAACTTGGTCCCATTTTGTTTTCTTTCCAGCTTGTTACACAGATGTAGAATCTGATTTCCATGCAAAAGTCCCTGTTGTGTTTTGCAATGATAAAAACAGGTATATTTGACATTAGTTAACAAATTCTTTTTGTGATTTTCTTTTGTACGATTAAAAGTGGAAAACTTAAGAGCAAAGATCAATTTGTGTAGTTTGCGAAATGTCATGGTAATCTGATTCATAAATTCCCACTACAGATTTGTAATTGCAGTGTTAACTTGCATGCTTATGTTTGACTTACTAAAAGTGGCAAAAATCTGAGTAGTGCTGTCACTTACCCAATCTAAAAGTTTTCTGTAGAACGAATGCTGCAGGTATCTAATGGTTTACTTGCGTGTTTGTTTTTTTTTTTTAATAAAAATGCATTTGACAGTCTTACAGCAGATATGGATGAGATGCATTAGAATGCTTTAAAAAATATATATTCAAAGAATGGGCAGACTAGTTGCCTGTCACCACAAATGCCCCACCTTGTAGTTTGAATATTTTCATGGGGGAATAACTTTGGGGTACCATAACTTTGAGATGAAGTTGCTATGGCTCCAGGAGGTCCCTGGTGCTGGCTCTCCTTTTGAATTAAACCATTCACGAACTATTAACCTCAGTCGGTTCCAGTGCTGGATTGCCATTATTCTTCCACAAATCTTACATGCTGAAAGGCTTGGGCTGAGGAGCTACTGATTGGTTTTGAGCAGATATAAGGCTTGCTGCCTGTGTGTTTTGTGTATACTTTTAAAGTGGCTCCAATAGGGGTAAGGTGTATTTTTGTAAAACTGTTTTATTCTATCCTTAGTGGGTTAACATGCAAAGTGAGTGCTGGGAACGAGACTGCATGCCTTACCACAGAGTTGCTGACTGCCCTTGGTAAGCTGGAGCCGGTCCTCACTCCGCTGGTGGTGGTGTTCCGATACTGGGCCAGGGTGAGTTACACTAAAATCAGTCCATTCATCACAATAGAAATGAGCCCTGCTGCACTAGGAAGAAGTCTTTCATTTCCTCTGCAACATGGACACATTAAAGGGAAATTAAAACGTGTGTTTTAGACAGGCACACATGGCAGTGCTGTACCAACCAACTTCGATTTTAGTAGCGCTAGATTTACTGGCTATGTGCGTTAACATGATTGTAGAGATTAAAGCAAATTATGAAGACTTGCAACCTAGTTTCTTTAAAACTTTACGTATGATGTAAACACAGCTACCTTGCTTTTAGTAGAGGTAAAATCTGTTGCTAGCAGTTAAATTCAGGCAATACAACAATCTTCATGACAACCAAAATATCTAATCAGTGTGCGAATGTCTGCTCTACCTTACCATGAATACCTGCATTCTACATTAGTATAAAATACACCCCAAGCACTATATATTACTGTAATGATGGTAGGAAGCAGTCTCTGAAAACACCCTTTAAATGATGATCTTTCATGAATTTTCACCTTTGGTTCTCTGAATGGTATCGGATCCCACAATCCAGAGACAATGTATCTCTGAGCCACCTAAGTGTTTGAATGAAGGAGGCTGACATTCAGGGCTTGATCAGGCTCATCAGATGCAGAGAAACTGCAGTG